CTGTTAGGAATGGACTGGCCAGCAATGGTGGGACTCACCTGCCTTTTGATCTGCAGTACCCAGGGCTGGCCAGCGGGTGCTCCCAGCAATCAGAGACTCAACCTTTCAGCCAGCTAACACCTGGAACTGATGATGCTGGGGTATTTAAGGGATGGCCAGACCCACAGACTCTGCCTTGGTGTTTGTGTTTGTCCTGGGCCCTGTATCTGTCCTGCATCCTGTTTCTGTCCCTCTGCCTGACCCTCTGTACTACGCTGCTTGTTACCTGTTTTGATCTCTGGCTTGTGACCCTGACCATCCCTCTGCCTGACCCTCTGTACTACGCTGCTTGCTACCTGCTGAACCTGGCCTGTGACCCCGACCATTCTCTGCTTGCTCCCCCTGTACCTACCTGCCCAATTGATATTGACCCGGCCTGCCTGATGACGCTTGCTTGTATGTACTGTTATCTGTGGGTGGTTTGGTTTGGTTTGTTTGCACTGTATTATGTTTAGTATTGCACTGCGTTTATGTTTGTATGGTTAGTGTTAATAAATTGTATTGTTTATCACATATCTGAAGTCTGCGTTTCCCTGCATCAGTCACACACCTCTGGTCATACCTGGGAGCCCTGACAGATCCCCTGAAGGCAATTGGATATTCCCTGGATCAATCAGTGCTTATTTTAGTGGAAAAATGGAATGTAAATTATTTTTCTAAATGTTCATACTTCTACCCTTATCTAGACCAGTGTGCCGTGAGATATTGCCTGGTGTGCCGTGGGAAAAATTGCAATTTCATCCGTAACATGTGGGCTCGGCTCACAAATAGACCAATCATTAGAACAGCAATGGGCAAACTACGGCCCGCGGGCCATATATGGCCCGGCGGACCTTTTAATCCGGCCCGCGGGAGCGTGATACTGTCAGGATGATCTGTCCCCCTCGACGTATCTGTGCATGTTCCGGAGATCGCCGATCGGCTGCTAATGCCTGAAACTGGCACATGCGCAGATACGTCGAGGGGGGACAGATCCTCATAGGAGACAGATTTTCATGCTACACCGGAACGGCGAGAGGAACGCGCGGAGCAAAGGTAAGTGAATTGACACAGGGGGGGCTTGGGGACTTAATATGGGGGATGAATTAATATGGGGGAATGAATTAATATGGGGGAATGAATTAATATGGGGGATGAATTACTATGGGGGATGAATTACTATATGGGGGATGAATTACTATATGGGGGATGAATTACTATGGGGGATGAATTACTATGGGGGATGAATTACTATATGGGGGATGAATTACTATATGGGGGATGAATTACTATAGGGGGGATGAATTACTATAGGGGGGGGTATGAATTACTATATGGGGGATGAATTACTATATGGGGGGTGAATTACTATGGGGGATGAATTACTATGGGGGATGAATTACTATATGGGGGATGAATTACTATATGGGGGATTAATTACTATATGGGGATGAATTACTATGGGGGATGAATTACTATGGGGGATGAAGTACTATGGGGGATGAAGTACTATGGGGGATGAAGTACTATGGGGGATGAAGTACTATGGGGGATGAATTACTATGGGGGATGAATTACTATATGGGGGATTAATTACTATGGGGGATGAATTACTATATGAGGGATGAATTACTATGGGGGATGAATTACTATATGGGGGATTAATTACTATGCTTACTATGGGGGAATATTACTATACTTACTATGGATGACACATACACATCATTCATCTACTCTTGGTCCGGCCCCCGGGTCCAATATATGAACCCATTGCGGCCCTCAAGTCAAAAAGTTTTTCAATAAATTTTTTTAACATTTTCTAATGGTGGTGTGCCTCGTGATTTTTTTCATGAAAAAAGTGTGCCTTTGCACAAAAAAGGTTGAAAAACACTGATCTAGACTTTATGGCTATCACTCCTTGGAATATTAACCAGTTGAAGACTGGTACACTAAAAAAAAATTTAATTTTAGTACTATTCTAAGTTTCTATTTTTCTGGCCTCGGAGTAAAAAAAATACACTTATTAATTAACTTAAACAATTATACTCACCACAACAGAATATAGGTGAAACTCTGAAAGTGTAACGTTATACAATGTTACGAATGGTGACATGTCTAAATTGGTTAAAGGAAAGGTTACATTGGTTTTCAGCTTTCTTCTTACCCGGCCTTGATGTTCAAACCTGAAAAATAGATAGATACTGAGCTTTTAGATGAATGCAAAAACAGATTATGACATGATTACACAGGGCACGTTCCCACACTGCTGACTCTTTCTGTTGGCCAGGACCATAGTTTTACTTTTGTGTGGAGATTACTGTGCATGAAGATTCTGGCTTTTTCCAGGGTGGAGAGGGTTCCAGCACCTGGCACACTGCTGCCCCTCTGCATGCCGCTGGTGGTATCCTCCAAGTGGCAGTACCTGGTTTGAACCACCCCTGCACCTTGGGAATGCCGCTGACGACAGGTCCCACTAATCATCACAATTGTTACATAATCCAGGTAATTTTTCTTGAACTACCGTAGTTGATGATTGCACATCTATTACCACAATTACGTTTGGTAAATGTTTAAGATAGGAGATCTCTCTGATGCAATAATAACACCAAAATAACATTAGAAATGGGTTAAAACCACTGTCTGTTCTTTATTGCTGTCTTTGAACCTGTTGTTGAGAGTCTCTTCACTTTATTCCTCAGAGATAGTGGTCAAGGGGATAGAAGGGGGAAAGGAAATCTCAACAGTGACCCAGATAAGAAACCTAAGATGGGGTTCTAAACTTCATTTAAAATTTCAAGAACCCGGGTGGAAAATTGTCAGCAGACTGGTGACTTCATCCTATCAGGTGCAGACATGGGAGTTCAGGTATTCAGGAAGTCGGGGGTGTCGCAGCTGCTTAAATACAATAGCCAGTAGCAATCTATGCAAAGCAATCTATAAATGTATGGCCATCCTTTTCCATACCGACTCAAATCCATAGCATAAAAAAGTTTTTGGAGAAAAGTTAATGGAATTTATGTAGCCTGTCCAAGCTATAAAATACCTTTTTAAATGTAGAATTAGAATCTTTGGAGGTTTGCTTATCTTCACTTCAACTGTAGCATCTTGTTTGGTTTTACAGTAAGAGCAGAATATCCTATCTGTGCTGGTCAACATGACTTGTTGGAAGAAGCACTGTAGACATTGCTGTAAAGAAGAATACACTATAAAGTATAACAAAGGCAAGGTTTGGATAGAATGGAGATGGATTAGAACACCTTTGGGTTGTCCTTAGAACAGTAATAGAGAGGAAATCTTCCAATGGGGACACTAGTTCTGATAACCTGGGGGGAAGGGGGGGGGAGTTTAATGAATTCCCTTAATTCGCAGGGATTTTCTCTCACTTCCTGCTGCTTTTGCCATGGGACAGGAAGTGAAAGTAAACCTCCCCAATGGGACACAGATGGCAAAAAAAAAAACAGACAAGGGTTATAATCCTCCCTCTTATTCTATCCAAAATGAAAAAAAAAGTTTTGTTTATAGTTCTACCTTGGGCCACTTTACAAAATGTTGCCATTCAGAAAAGGTAGTTGTAACAAGCATGCACACAGTGAAGGATGCAGCCTCCATTTTGTTAAGAATCTCCATTTTCTCCCCTCATACTTTCCCCCCTTGCTCTCTGTTCATACACATTGACATATGGTCTGTGTGTTAAAAAGTGTCACAGGCCAGAGCACAGCAGGGAACCCCAGAGCTATAAAACATTTCTGAGCGAAATGCCGGGTTGTGTACCAGAGCTGTGCAATTTAGCACCTCGTAAAAAGATAACGCAGCCTTCCCAGGAGTTCAAGGCATTCCAGAGAAGCAGGAAACCAGATAACCTTTTTAAAGATCCATTTTTCCCCTATGTCTCACGTCTTGGAGTATGAGAGACTTACATAAAAAGCAGGCATATCTTCAGATTGGCAACGAGGAGACAAACAGTTTGGTAGGTCACACTCCCTAACTGGAATACATAGGAAAGCAGAAAAGTAGATCACGTGAACCATTCAAATATGTATTTAATCTTTCATATCTACCCGCTCCTCATAATAGGCAGCTGCATAATAATCTACCCGCAGGTGGAATGTCACTTGTGCATAGGAAAAGTTATGAGTAAAATATGAGTTATGAGAGATTTTGGCTATAGTTTAGGCCTCCGCCCGACGATCCCTCCCTAAACAGGGCATTGGTCCTTGACTTCATAGACACCCCCTGCTAGGGAACTACAAAAAGGGCTGTTAGGCCTAAAAGAGCTAAGTTGAAGAATTCTCCCATTTAACATCAATACCACCTGTGGAGACCCGTACCCTTTCGCTCTGAAACTTGATCTGCTAACCCAGGACTTTGGCAAGTACTTTAACCCTTTAACCTCTCTGTTATCTCTTTGCTGTGCTGTTGTTCTCTGTATATTTATATATACAGTTGCAAGAAAAAATATCTTGCATGGTTCACATCAGACAGTGCTTCTTGAAACCAGTAAACCCAAAACAGGTGTGTGTTTTTTAAGGGCAGGACAGCTGTCAGCAACACATCCAATATCATCACACTGATTGGAGTCAAGGTTGGCTCACTCCTGGCTCCAATTAGCTCTGGGAGAAGTCATTAAGCTAGGGCCTCACATACTTTTTCCTCCCTGCACTGTGAATGTTTACATGTTATGTGCAATTAAACCATGGCAACATCTAATGTTTGTGTAGTATTATGTTCAGCAGACCGTATTCTTCTATGGTTGTGACTTAGATGACGTTCAGAGTACATTTTATGCCCAATTCATGCAAAACTCCACGTAATCCCAAGGGGTTCACATACTTTTTCTTGCAACTGTATATTGGTTACATCTTTTTTTCTGTAAATATTTTTATTGCACCCCTTTTTGACTTTCAGTAATAAATGTTTCCTTTTGAAAGTGTTGAACTGTTTCTATAGCTCTTAATTGCAATTTATGAATTCCTGCCTCTAAAAAGAGCGCTACTGTGTTTGTTTAACCCTCTGTATTACCAGCCTGCAGTGACCGTGTTAGGCAGACGATTATCTCAATCATTATAGTGTTATTGCTGGTATAGCCAAGTTTCCTTTTTCTCTGTACAAAAAGGAGGTGGTGGCAGTGTGAAGGGTTAATTGCGTAGTTAACCTGACCCAGTAACAATCGCTCAGGCTGCCGATACATAGATTGTGGTCCAATTAGCTGGAAAATCATTGTGCAGGGTACAGCTGGGTGTGGCATTGTTACGCACGTGACATTGCGATTTTAGATTGGCTAGTCCTTCGGTCACGAGTTCAGTGAGAAGTGCTGGGGTCTGACGCCGCGGTCGTCACATATTGGTGACAGCGATCGTGGGATCGTTGCATATTGGTGGCATCGATTCCGTGTCCGTCACAGTAGTGACTGGACTAGAATATAGGAGAAGATATACTGTAGGTGACTTAAATCTAGCTAAAGTACCACTCCATTGATGGCTAGTGCTAAACAAAAAAACATAATCCTAATAAAATTTAGGAAAAAAAAACAATTTGTTAAAACAACAATATTCTTGGAGGTCTCATATCAATCATAATTAAAAAAAGATCAGCCTCCTTGGATATGGCTCTTCTTTGTGTTGACTCGCCTAAAATTGACAGATTGTGGGAGCAGTGGATGGTTGATATCCCAACACTAGATCAGGAGGACTGTCTTGGGGACTGTCCTAAGCTTGTCATTTCATTTAGAGACAAACTAATTCAAACAATTTTTTTGCATAGGGTGTATTTTTCCCCTCAATGTTTTTTTTCTATATGTCAGGTAAAGGTATTAAATCAAACATACTGTAGGCTAGTAATAGGTAACTAACACTTTCAGAAAATAAATAAAGAGGGTTTTTTGCAATGATTTGGAGTTATGCAACAGCAGATATTTTTATATTACCATCAAAGATGCTTTATTTCCAGAAGGTATGGGAATTGAAAGTACAGTAAAAATGTCCTCCTTGTAACTTCTCCTTCTACACTCCATACAAATTATTGTCTGGCTAAGAACTCCTTGGAAAAAGCGTGTGATTGGAGTATTGGAAGCACTCCTTATGGTATGCCTGATAATGATACCTTGCACCATGTTAGAGGATTTGTTGTTGATAGTCTGAAAAAAAGAGGTGGCTTTAGATTATTACCTTTATAGAACCATTTTTTTTTTTAGAACGGCTATACCCAAATTTAGGACAGCGTTCATTATTTCCAACATTCAGGGTGCTTGTCAGTTTAACATAGTCTGGCAGGATCTCCTTAAAAATATCACAATCTCTTAACTGTGTAGGAACCCTACCTTATACAGCTAAGTCTCCTCTTTAAATTTAGAATGTGTTGCTGCCTGAGATGATATTTTCTGGTTCTGTAGGTTTTCCCTAAGCTTGGTGGGTTGACTGCTTCAGCCTGCTGTTGGAAGGAGGTTCCAGTAATCAGTGTGGGAAGGATTAACCACTGGGTCATGAATATGTATCTAATTCAGCCAACTCTTGAGCAGCTACATTCAGAGGTAGGGCTTGGAGAGATGATAAATGTCTGCAAGCACCTTACCAGAACTTTTTCTTGGAGCTCACCCCTGGGAGGGTGCAATATGCGAAGACTGCTGGATGAGTCAGGCCTTAGCATGTGCCATATGCCCAGGTCTTTTGAAACCATAATTGGAGCTGGAGCAGCAAGGTCTGCAAAGCATACAGGGAATCCAGGAAGTTGTGGAAAGAGATGGCAAGCAGGCAAGCACCACTCCCAATATAAAAAGAGATTTTTCAAGTAAGCTTATATTTGATTGTCAACAATAACTATTGTGTGTATTGACACTATAATGCTGATGTTATAAAATGAAAGTGCATGCCATGACCATAGATCTCCTTTAACTGCTTACCTACTGCCCTATAGCAGACATACTGTTACAGGGTGGCCGCTCTGCGCAAAATCACGTAAATGTACGGAATCTTGTATTTTTCGGGTAGGGGGCGTGTACGCCACCCTACCCATGCTGCCATTGGTTGCAGTGCATGTCAATCACCGGGTCCCAGTTTGGCGATTCTCGGGTGGCACTCGCTGATTGCCGCTAAAGCTGAGGGGGAGAGATCTGTGTGTAAACGACACAGATCTCTCTCCTGTCAGCATGGAGCACGCAGTGTAAGCACAATACACAGTTAACCCTTTGATCACCTCAGATGTTAACCCCTTCCTGCCCAGTGTCATTAGTACAGTGTCAGTGCTTTTTATTAGCACTGATCACTGTATTAGTGTCAATGGAGATGTCAATCGCCGTTAGTCAGTTCCCACTCAGTGTCAGAATACCCGCAGCAGTCCTGCTATAAGTCGTTGATCGCCGCCATTACTAGTATAAAAAAAAATTAAATGAAAATTCCAGTATATATACTTCCATTTGTAGATGCTAGACTTTTCACGTAAACCAATTAATTTACACATATTGGGTTTTGTTTTAGGAAAGACATGTAGCAGAATACATTTTGTCCTAAATTTATGAAGAAATTTCTTTTTTTTTCTTTTTTTTTTATTGGATAGGTTTTATAGCTAAACGTAAAAAATATTGTTTTTTTTTTTTTCAAAATTGATGGTCTTTTTTTGTTTATAGCGCAAAAAATAAAAAAATGCAGTGATGTTCAAATACCACCGAAAGAAAGCTCTATTTGTGGGAAAAAATTACATAAATTTTATTTATGTACAGCGTTGCCTGGTCAGGAAGGGGGGTAAATCCTCTGGAGGGCAAGTGGTTAAGTAATGCTCAGTAAATGTTCCTACCTTTGTTAGATCCTCATGTAATCCATTCAAAGTGTATATGAGCAGTTCCTGTGCATCCTGTTGACTTATCTTCCCAAAAGGTGGGTGAACACAACACAATGCATCCCAAAAGTCTTCTGGTGTCACAGACTGAGATTCACCAAACCACAGGTCCACCACAAGCTTAGCAAAGGCATTCACAAATGTCTTTTTCTTCCTACAAAAAAAGGATATAAATATATATATATATATATGTAGATCTTTAGAATCTGTAATCAGACCATATATTTCAACAACACTCTTCCCATATGATTATTCTGTATATGTGTATTCAGTGCATTTTAGACATGTTATTTAAAAGCCTCTCTAGTATGAATATCCAAATTTCCTGAGACTGCTGCTAGGTGTGATGTCAGCAGACTCAGTGCTATCACTTCAGTGACACTCCATAATGTTCCCCTTCACTCCTCCCGCAGCAGCAACATAAAAAAGGTTGTATATAGAAGTGAGGAGAGGAGCAGAGGAGTTGGGCTAGCAAATAGAATTATTAGATCATCCCAGAAGAGAAGAGAGCTATGACAAGCTAGGAGGGAGGAGGCTGTGTTAGGAAATCGACTCTTCTTGAGCTAGACAAATTTGCTAGCAAGTTCAAAGACCTATTGCAAGTGAATAGAAATTTATTTATGGAAAACCACTTCAAGTAAGCATTTAAAATATTAGTTTTTTATCTGCACTTTTACATACAGGGTCTCTTTAAAGTGTTACTAAACCCAGGACCCTGCATCTACTATATCTGGACTCCCACAGTACATGGAACATGGAAGTGCAATTATTTTAGTAAATATAAACTGCTAAATACCTTTTCTCATCAGCAGTTAGAGCAGTCTTGTGGCTTTTATCAGTATCCAGCCCAGCACTAGCTAAAGCTTGGTGGAGTTTTCTTTCTGCTCTCAGAGGATGGAAATCCCCTGACCTCTATCTGGACAGTGCTGATTGGCCCTGTGCTGATCAGATGCACTCTCCCAAGAAAAAAACCCCTCTAGCAATATAAACCAAACTGAGCATGTGCATGTCTATGGTTCAGTCTTGAGATAAGTGGTGGTCACTTGAAAAAGGGGAGGAACAGAGAAGAAAGGATAAAACAGTCTTTTTACACAAGGCAGAGGATTAACCCCTTAGGTTACAAAGTGAGTATAACAAGCATGCTTTACTGCATATACAGACTGATTTTACTGGTGTGGGTTTAGCAACACTTTAAAACCCAAATCTAGATTCACCATAAAAGTGAATGTGTGTTGTGGAACTGACTCCTCCCTCTGTGCTCAATAAAGATAGATTATAGATTTGCCATCCTGTCCATGAAACTTCCAGCCTTGATGACATCCAACATCACTCAGCCCCTTATTCAGTAGCTTAGGTGTAATGGACAAGCCCCTAAATTTTATGTTGCAGGCAACAGCTTTACATGAAGCAAACTCAAACTCCCTAAGGCCCCATTCGCACCTGAGTGTTTTCTGGCTCGAAGCTTCAAAACACTCATGGGAGAAAAAAAATTAATTATTCTCTATGATGGTGGTTCACATCTCCACTCCAAAATGCCTGAAGCTCAGAAAGGTTTTGGAGGTACTTTTGTAGCTTGATTTGGGCAGATTGGTGTGTTTTTTAAGCAGCTGAAAACAGAAACACATAGCAACAAATGATGTAACTGAAATAAACATAAAATTAGTGAAGCGCTTGTATCTCATGAATACAATCATGTGTCTCCATAAAGTATAATAGTAAATCAAAGTGACCACTATATATATTAAAAATATGTGAACTCCCTCTAGTGGATAGAAAAAATAATGTCAACCGAAATGACTATAATAGCTAAATATCACACATTAAGAACCTAAATATGTAGTGCATAAATCAGATATACTAAACAAAGTATATATACATGAAAACAGAATAATTGGCCACATACAATGGTGTCTAAATCAAACATAACTAATATATGCCATAAGTGAAAAAGACAATATCAAAGGTGAAAAAATATTCCATGCATGTGACTGTGCTTTAAGCTGCAACACACACGTGATCTCCACTTCTAAGTGCAAGTACTCTCCTTCAAATGGCAGCAATGCCTGCTCACCTCCCTTCCTCGACCCACACAGGGCCTCAAAGCAGTTACCACCTCAGTGGTGTATTCCTCTGGCAGACTCCTTAATCCTCCTCCTCTCTTATGCAACTCATAAAAAGACAAGAAAGCCTTCCATAGTGTAGTAAGTTTTAATAGGCAAAGTAAAAAGTGACAAAGTAAACCACTCACATGCTCCTTTCCATAAACAAGCGTTTTTTCCCAGCCTGTGGGTAGATATGCATGCACCTGGGGGAATCCAATATGGCCACTGCGTCCGGACATACGTCACCAGGAAGTAGACAAACCGACGCGTTGCGTCACGTGATGAAGTCACAGTGTACAGTGGGGGACACAGACACCTGACAAATCTTTGGCCAGTGTAGCTCTAGGTAAGTACAAAAGATATGAGGCATGGATGGAGGGATGTGTAATATTACTGTTTTAGAGGGTTTTATGTTTTTGGCAACAGAATGTCTTTAAGAGAAATGAAGCCAGCTTCATATTTCTCTCACACTACCTACAGTATATAGGAGACTGTCACTCAGAATAATCATAGAAAACATGCAAAAAATTGTTACTTTTTCTTGTAAATTGTAAACTGCAGCAAGTCTTCTCACAGCTATGGACAACTAGAATGCTTAGTGCTGGGTCAAAAACAAAAACCTTTTACCGAGCAGTCAAGTTCTCAAACTGCCAAGAAAAGAAGTATTCAACAAGTGGGGAAGTAGAGCTGAGACATTGTATAACTGCGTTCATATAGCAAGTATTCCCCAGATTACTCAGTCCCGTCACTCCTTTTTCTTTCATTGGCTTGGAATGGGAATGCTTGATGGATCCATGCCATTGCTCAGCTTCTTTGTGTCTAGAACAAAATAGAAAATTTCAGCTTACCACTCAGACTGACAATATGAAATACAATATACAGCTGTATTCACTCAGGCATTGGCACCCAACCTTTTTTCATTTTGGTACCACATGGCAGCTCATTTGCGAAAACTGTACCTCTCAAGTTAAAGTATAAGTAAAGGCAAAATTTTTTTCTTTAGTTTTGGATAGAATGGAGAGGGATTTCAACACCCCTCTGTCTTTATTGCTGTCTGTGCTCCCGTTGCTGTCTGTTTATCATTATCCTTGAATGCGAAAGTAAAAGAATATCTGAAATTTTGGGTTGACAACAGAACAGTAATAGAGGGGAAATCTTCAAATGGGAACACTAGTTCTGGTGACACTCCAGGATTCCCTCACTTTGGATTGACTTCCTCTTGGTTCCTGTTTTTGGCTATGGGACAGGATCTGGAAGGAAATCTCCCCAGTGGGATACAAATGGCAAAAAAACTGACATCGGGTTATAACCCTCCCTTACAGGATAAGTTCACCTTTTGGACAAAAATAATAAATGCACTTTTTTTGCAGGTAAACTTCTCTCTGTACAATCTGTCACAGGGAGGAGGGGTGGTGGGCTCGGCTGTGGCTATGGGAATATGTTACATGTGCTACCCTAAAAACGGGCGGAACATGTAACATATTCCAAAGTTGAAATTATCCTTTAATCCATCCAAAATGAAAAAAAAAATGCCTTTAGTTCTGCTTTAATATTTCTCTTATTCAGCTTACATGGATGGACAAATCTGCAGTGTGGCAACCACAGCTGTCAGAATACCCAAACAGTGCCTACATGGGATTGTTTGCAGGTGCTGTTCGGCCAAGAATTTTCCATTTGTCTCCTTCAACAAGAGCTGACTAAATAGAATCTGCTTTATTTGAGCTGGGTGGTACCAACAGGGCCACACATTGAACACCATGTTGTTGATTCCCTGATTCTGGAGGTTATTTTTAGAAATATCAGTCTTAGAACATTAGGTATCTGAAGTGACTACAGTGACAAATCTAAACATTTTTGAATACTCCTGGTCAACTTAGTTTCTCAGGAACAGGTGATTATAGTCTCCACCAAAAGGAACTCAAAATGCATGGAAGCTCAACCTTCTCCACCCAATGCAGTCAGCACAGAACACCAGAGCACAGCTCAAACTCCTGTAGGTTGTCAGTAAGTGTAGTGATGAAAAGAGCCATTACTCTGCTACAGATCCTCCAACGGCAATTTATTGACAATCAGCTAAATTTCAATCATGACAAAACTGCTAACGCATTTTTACCAGTAAGGCCTCAAAATTTGGAGTTCTGTCACGAAGAGATTTTATCCAATTGCCAATAAATCACTGTTGAAGGATCTGTAACAAGGTGTCGCTCCTTTCATTGCTCCATTGAAAGGAACTGCATACCTTAGATTGCAAACACATTTTTAAATTATATTGACATAGTGTAGATTATATGAGAGTTTAGTAATTGGGTTTACAAATACTTTAAAACTACTTACAGCTGTGTGCCTCTTCTATAGTCTGTTTTTTTATCCTCCTTTCTATTATCATCACACTGAGAAGAACCTGAACAGACAGAAACTCCAATCATCTCTTTAGAGAGAAGTTCTACAAATTCCTCAAGTAATAAATCTTCACTGGACTTTATATTTTGAAGTAAATATAGAGTAAAAGCATTAATGGCAGAAATGTGAACAAGGAGCCAAAAGTACACCAAGAACATGGATGAAGGATGATCTTTTCCATTAAGTGGAAATATTGAATAGCCTTCCCAGTCAGAAAAAAAGATATTGTTTTCACCACCATGGTCTCTATATGCTAATTGAGAGCTGTCCACAAACCAAGGAAAAGGCTGTAGCCGTATTCCAAGCTTTCTACACTCCCCAATGATGGTTTCATCTATATGAGCCGAACTGTCAATCTCCACTGTATAATTTTTTTGATAGAAAGGGTTGAGGAGTTTTCGGATTATGTATATCAATGGGATATATTCCAATTCACTTAATTGAGAGATGGAGTATGTAAAAAAATTACAGATAAAACCTGTGTCTTTGTCCACCAATAAAACCACTCGTAAGTCTCTAGGATGCTGTAAGTTACCAAAATCCACTTTATATTTTTCAATGCAGAGAGTCTGACCTGGCTCAAACATTGTTCTAAAATTTAAAACAAGTTTTTCCTGTAACTTGTTCATTTCCTGAAAAAAAGTTGGAAAAGATTTGTTCGTTGCTGTACCAAACATAATGAACATATCCTGGAGCTGCCCATTTGAAGTTAACTGAAGATACCGTTTCCTTGATAGGTTTATGAACTCTTTTGTTGGCCTTTCATAAAATCCGATCAGTCCACTCCATAGCAGTCTTCCAATCCATTCCTGAATCTCTGCTTCTTCCACCTTTTTAGAACTTTGTGATCCATTTTTACCCTTCCGTGTTCTTCTGGTATTTTTGTTTTTATTTTCTTTACCACCTCTGCTAAGATATCTCCATTTAATAAGCAGTTAAATGTATCTTTCTTGGAAGACTGTGCTAGATAAACAGATTTTTTTGATCCTTTCCAGTAATGCCCTTCTGGTTGCACTTTATGTTTTAGAGTAAAACATTTTCCACAGGGCCACAGGATGTGGAAGCAGCTTTGATTAAAGAGGTGTCCTCCGGTGTCCATTGTACTGATGTGAGTGTGGCAACTATTACATCCATAGCCATTTGCAGCATCCCCACAAATAAAAACCATCCTCAGCTTAGAAAATCAGCACAGGACATCCATTGATTAACTTGCTGTACCTTTTGTTTGTGGGAGTGGTAAGCTGGTTACCAGTAACTCCTAAACAAAGCAGCTCAGCATACCAGTTGTATGTGTACAGTTGTCATTTGTGCAACCACACTATGGCTAACACAAGCATTACAAGCCAAAGTAACCTGACACCTAATAACTGCTGCACAAGCAATGTACATCACAGCAGAATTATTTCGATTTATCTAAAATTATTACTTGTTAGTGTTCTTTAGTTTGCTTTACAAGTTCTGAAATATTTATAAAAGTGGCAAACATATATGGTATATATAATATAAATAATTATATAAATATTATAGTTATTACTTTGCAAGTATTGAATATTTTCTAATGTCTGATACAAATGCTTCTGCCAAAAGCCTCACATAAAATCTTTACTTTTGACCAAACAATGAAATCTGGCTCAGAAAAAAAAACACAAGTAGAAAAACGCTTTCCTAGGATAGTTTCATGAAGTAGTAGAGGTGAGCCACTCTAGACCAGTCTTTCTCAACCTTTTCACTCCAAAGGAACCCTAGAAATAATTTTCAGGTCTCAGGGAACCCCTGCTAAAATTAATTGGGAAGAATGCAACTGCATTGGTCCTCAGAATGAAGAATGCTATTGGTGGTCAGTAAGAAGAATGTCCCTTATATTGGTGGTCAGTGGGAAGAAAGCCCCTTACATTGTTGGTCAGTGGAAAGAATGCCTTCCTTCAAAATTCCACCCTTACAGACAGTTAAAAGATCTTCAAAGTGGCTTTGAACATGGAATTATGGAGACACACTCAGATGGGAAGTCAGTCATCCACAGCTTAAGGAACCCTTTGCAACCTCTAGAGGAGCCCTAGTTGAGAATGGCTATTCTAGATAGTGAGCACTCTAAACAAGTCTTCTCAACAAAGCAGTTAGGAACTTCACCTCCTAACATTTTATTTATTTTTTGTTATAGCTGTGAGTCATTTGGGCCCCCTTGAAGCCTGGTTAGCAATATGCCTGCTGGGGGTCAAAAAGGACTACAGGCTTGATAATAACATTAATGGACATATTACAGATCTGCAATGTTTTTAATACCTATTGCAGCCCCTTAACTATATAGGTGAACTTAGCCTTTATGGTAGGCCACGTTTATATTTTACAGTGGCATTCCTTTTATTATATTTAAGTTTTCTTCAGGCTGTCTTTACTTTTAATTGGGACCTTGCTAATTAACTTCTTTTTTTATTTAAGAATTTAAAAAAAGGTGCCTCAGTCCGACAACCTTTGATTTCTTCCATGTTGTTCAAGTGGATCTCTACTTCCCAAATGTTGCCTACCCCTGGCTTAGGCCCCTTTCACACAGAGTGGAGTCTGCTCCAACCAGCAGGGGAGCTGTGCTGATCAGAGCCGAGTGAGACTGATGTCACAGTGTAAAACAGACTCTGTTACTGTTGTCTCTGCTGAAATATTACTGTTGTCATTGCTCACATATTACTGTGTGCATAAAGATTACTATTGTCACCACCCACATATTACTGTACTCACACAGATTACTCTTGTCACCGCTCATGTATTATTGTACTCACACAGATTACTATTGTCACTACTCATATTACTGTGCTAACATAGATTACTGTTGTAGCACCCTTCTAGTTAGCCAGGGGGAGCTAGCTAATTTTTTTTGTTAGAAGGCAGCTAGGGAGATAATCAGAGGGGTCAAATTTGGGTCAAAGCTGAGAGGCTCTGCAGATCAGTTTCCTGATACCTCCCCCTGTTCTAGAGACTTGGAGAAGTTTCTAGAACTCAGTGGGGAGGGGGGGTAAGGAGGAGCTGGTCTGCACTTTTAAGGGATCCTGATCAATCCCTAAATAGGAGGCTTGACATGGGGTCAGGACAGACCTTAAGAGTAATGGAACCTGCTCAGAGGCAGGAGAGTTTGGGTGGAAGATGGAGTGAGCAGGATGGAGTGGGGTCCCAGAAGAGGAGCTGGAAGGGAGGATCTCTCATCCTCAACCATCCCCTGAGAGAGGACAGCCTAGGAAGCAGGGAAGGAGCCAGCCCAGCATAAGGCATAAAGTCCCACAAGCTTGCTGGACATCGGCGGACTGACTATTTGGAAATTAGGGCA